ACACCTCACTAGTTTTTGGGTCATTAGATTAAACCAGACTCATTGTTATACATTCACTTGTAAGCACAGAAAGGGAACTATTGTTCTGCTATAAATGTTTATAATTTACAGTCTGGGTCATCGATTTCCAACAAACTGATACTCCAATAAATACAGCTGTTCACTACTGGCAGGAATCCTCTCTGTTTTTTGTTTTTTTTCTGCCTTCTCTCCTAATTACAAGCACATGTTCTTCATCTGTCTCTCATCCTCTATCATCCTCTATGTCCTGCCCATCAAACACATCACAATACTAAGTGTATGATTAAGCTTTTACAGCAGATTCAGAAGGACCAGAAACATGAAAATTAATTAGAAACATGAAGAATTTCTTTCTTCTGAAAACATGTCTGACAATATGCAAATAAAAACAATAAAAACAGCTGCTGGTTTGCTCTCCTCCAAACAAAGGTGAATAACAACAAAAGGTGGTTGTCGCTCATTGTCATTGTTCAGCAGAGGATTGGTGGGCATCAGAGAATAACAATGAGCTCAAGCAGCTTGTAACCCATGTGTTTTATTTCTATCATGACCAATGTTCCCTCTAATTTTTCATGTGTCTGAGCGAACACACAAACTCCCTGAGCGATCCCGTGGACCACTGTGAGCAACATCAGACGTGTGCACTGTGGTCACGCCAGCATCCATCCAAGTTACATGGTTTATTAAAATAATCAAATTACAGCATTTACATTTATGTTAGACTACTTTTAAACTGCTTTAGCCCACTTACAATGAAAATGTAAAAAAAAATCTAGCTATTGACCTGTGTATTATGTTAACACTATTGGAAGTAAAAATGACTTGAACTCCAATTTTGAAAACACAACTTTCTTTTTGTTTTCTTTTTTAAAAAAAAATATATATATAAAGCTCTGACTTGTATTATGAGTCTGTGGTCTGGGAGAGAGTCCTGTAACTCTCTGTCTGCAAAATACAGTATATAATGACCAATGTTGGGCAAATAATTATATAGTTACTCCTAAAAAAAAGTAACTGGGTTATGCAAACAACAAAGTTTTTTGCAGCTATTTTTTTTAAATGCAGCCAATGCATTTTTAAATAAAGATTTCAAACTATTTACAGAACAATTTGATGCCACACAAATTTTTTGTGACACTCCAAAAAATAATTTCTGTCCACTATGAGATAAAGGAGAACAACAGCCTGATACTTGCAGGCCTGACAACAGGAGATGTATCACTCCTGTAACACCTGTAACATTCAGCAGTCGCCTCATTGTTCTGACACACACAACAAAACTATTGACTACACTACACACTAACTACACAAGATTTGCGCTAAACGTCTCAAATCTCTCACATCTCAAAACACCGCCGTCACTCCTAAAACTCCCTCCCCGTTTCTTAACAACTAGATGCCGCGTTGCCATACCATTTTTTGATTGGTCGACATGGTACTTTTTTGGACAAATAGGAAAGTGAGAGGGGGGTGGGGGGTTGTTTTTGCTCACAGGCGGAGAGTGCTTTCGAGCGTTTTCCTTATAAAACACCATTTTACCGTTTCTTCCCGCAGTAAATATAAACAACGATAGGAAAAAAACAACAACATTGCACATATTTTTTTTATCGTAACTCTGGTTTTATGTGGCCTATCAACACAATTTAAAAACTGGTATAAAGTCCACACTTTTTCCGTCAATTGTTCCGTCTGTCCTGCTCACATCT